TGACTGTCTGGACAACATAACCCTCAAATTAATATTATTAACATCATAACTCTTGGCGGATTACAACAAATATAAATTTTTAACACTATATTTTTAAGGGCATAGAAAATATAGGAAAGGTAGGTAGGTAGGTAGGTTGATAGGAGGATGTATACTACATCAAATCCGAAGAAATACACCTAGGCCACTATCGGGCCTGTTGTGCGCTCCAATTCAAGACAAAAAAAAAAAAAAAAAAAAAAAATTTGTTCACTGAATGTATTATTTTTCCATGTTCAGAAACTCAGTTTCCTGGACGTAATTCCTAAGAATCTTCCAATCGGTGTTGGTTAAGAATGTTATTTCTGGAATAACATCACTTCCAAGATACTTGGATCTAACTTCGACGAATGCCTGACAATGGCAAAGAAAGTGCTCCAGAGTTTCACTGTCCTCTCCACATGCTCTACATTCGTCTGAATTCGCACGTCCAATTTTGTATAGATGTGCTCGTAATCCTGTGTGTCCACTGAGAATACGTACCATCATACTAACCTCAGACTTGCTCATTTTGAGAAGATTTCTCGTCTTGCTCTCATCAGGGTCACCCCATAGAATCTTTGTGGTTCTACCCACCGTTTCATTATTCCAAGAGGCCTTATGGGATTCTCTCATCCATATTTTTAATTCAGCTTTTGTTGCGTCGAATGGTTTTGCGTTTGTCAGGTTAACTACATCGAGCTCCCTTCCCTTTAAAGCTATTACATTCGCCCTTTCGTTGCCGGCTACTCCCGAGTGGCCTGGTACCCATATGATGTGAACCTTACCTCTGGGAGAGTATTCAGTTAAAGCTTTCTTACAATCCAATACGGTCTTAGATTTAATTCTATCACCTGATATCGCACAAATTGCCTTCTGGCTGTCGGTAAATATATTAAGCCCTGTGGGCGCCATATTTATTCTAATCCAATTTACACATTCCGTTATTGCTCGTACTTCTGCCTGGAAGCTTGTGTTATGATTAGGTAAACGGTGGTATATTTCTGTTTCTGGGTCTTCAATATAGAACCCCAGACCCACTTTGTCCCCTAATTTAGAGCCATCCGTGTAGCAACGGATTCCTACTGGTATTTGCTCTAATGTTCCGCTTGACCAAGACATTCTATCTGGGATTAGCGTTTCAAAGTTTCCGACATATTCAGTGTCTGGTATGCGATCAGGCACGTCCGATGAATGTGTATAACCTTCCAATGTGTCCAGTATACATTGATGACGTGTCCTATAACCGTTTTTGGCCAGTTCGCCTAAAGTAAAGAGCCGTTCGGCTGTAAGCGCCGCCTCATATCTTATATATGTTTCAATGGGTGGAATATCTAGCAACGTTTCCAGAGCCTTGGTTGAAGTAGTACACATGGCACCACTTATACCCAAGCAGCATGTACGCTGAACTCCCTGTAGTAGTTTGATATTACACTTTTTGTCCAAAGCAGTCCACCAGATTATTGAAGCATAAGCTAGAATTGGTCTAATTACACTTTTATAAAGCCAATTTGTCATAGTAGGACTAAGACCCCATTTCATGCCTATGGTTCTCCTACATATCGCCCAGCACCGATGTGCCTTGTTGATCCTATCCTCTATGTGGTGTCTCCATTTTAATTTCCGGTCAAGTATTACACCTAAGTACTTAACTTTGTCTGTCACCGGTATCTTCTTGCCCAAGAAGCAAGGTTCAGTATATGTAGAAATTTTTGTCTTTCTTGTGAAAAGACAGATTTCCGTCTTCGCCGGGTTAACATTGAGGCCTCTCGGTTGAGCCCAGCTCAAGGCCGTATTCAGAGCCTCCTCAGCTCTTCTACACAAGTAATTTGGATCCTTTCCCTTTAAAAGTATTACGACGTCGTCTGCATAGCAGACAGGTCTAAGTCCTTTCTCGGTTAGGGTCCTTAGGAGGCTATTAATCGTGGTGACCCAGAGTAAAGGTGACAAAATGCCACCCTGTGGTATACCGCGAAATACCTTTTTCCTGATAGTTATATCGTACATCTCGCAGCTTATCCATCTGTTCCTTAGCATGTAGTTGATCCAGTTACGGAGCACCCGGTCAACATAAAACTGGTCTAGGGATTGGATAAGGGTATCAGTGTGCACGTTATTGAAAGCGCCTTCGATGTCAATGCATACTGCCAGTGTATACAGTTTGCTATCGAAAGATTCACTTATGTAGTGGACAACTTCATTTAAAGCGGTCTCCACCGATCGTCCCTTTACATAAGCATGCTGCTTATATTTAAGGTCATTGTATGGTATGCTGCTTTTAACCATGCTATCGACTATCCGTTCCAAGGTTTTAAGTAGGAAGGACGTAAGACTTATCGGTCGATAGGACTTAGGTGTCGCATAGCTAGGTTTCCCTGGTTTGGGTATAAATATTACCCTTGCATCCTGCCATTTAACTGGGGTATATGCCAATTTTAAGCATGCAGTGAATATCTGTGACAGATGTACGGAAACCAGTCCCGCCTCCATCTGCAAAAGTGCCGGGAAAATTCCATCCGGCCCTGCAGCTTTATAGGGAGCAAAGCTCTTGATTGCCCCTTTAACCATGTCAGTTGTAATAACTATTTCCGTGTTACCCTCCCCTTCCTCCAATATCGGTTCATCTATGTTATTCGATATACCGGGTGGGAAATGAGAATCCATTAGGAGTTTCATTGTCTCCTCCATATCCTCAAGCCTCCTGCCCGTGTCATCGATCATAGATTCCGGTTGGACATGAGTTTTGGATAGGAATTTTTTTATCTTCGATACCTCATTTACGCTATCTACCTGTTCACAGAAAAGTTTCCAGGAGTCTCGTTTGGCTCTTCGAACGATTTTCTTATATTCACCAAGTTTATTACGATACTCATCCCAGTATACTGCGGTCTTTTTACGCCGTGCCCGGTTAAATAGTTTGCGAAGAGTCTTCCCAAGGTTCCGGATCTCCCCAGTTACCCAGGGTTTTTCCTGGGCAGATCTCCGCTCTCGCAGAGGGCAGCTGTCCTCGAACGATTCAACCAGGGCACTTGTGAACGTTTCCACTTTGGCATCTATATCCTCTTTATTTCGACATTGAAAAGTGTCCTGACCTAAACGGTTCTTTAGTAAGGCCCCGAACATTGTCCAATTAGTTTTAGACTTATTCCGAAATTTTATCGGCTTTGGTGGTGGCCTTAGTATTTTGAATCTTATGTACCGATGATCAGAAAAGGAGTGCTCGTCCGAAACTCTCCAATCCTGAATTTCGTTTATAAGCTCTTCTGAACATATAGTTATATCTAATACTTCTTCTCTGATTCTATTGACGAAGGTAGCTTTATTACCTAAGTTCAATGTTATCAAGTCTTTAGTATTAAAATATAGGAAAACTAATGCAGTTTTTCTCAAAAAAAAAAAAAAAAAAAAAAAAAAAAAATAATAATAATAATAATAATAAAAAAATTCTTTTGTTGTTATGCATTTTAGTGCATTCGTCAAATTAATCCATTAGTGCAGAGTGAATGTAATTTTCATGACTTTTTTAAGCAATAGTGCTAAAACCACTCATTCTAAATGCTTTCATAAATTTAACCTATTCCACAGTTAACAAATTTCATTAAAACTTCAAAAATTAATTCAGATTGTTAATTTAATCAAATGAGATTTATGTGTTATTAGAAATAATTTTGATTAATATTTGATTAATAAAACATCGTTTTCGAATCATCGATTTTGCATTGGTTCGATTATTCGAAATTCTCTCATAAACACATGATCGCCAATGACGCGCTAATGTTAAAATCATGTATGTTTCAAATAAATCGAACCAATACGTATTTACTTGCACCTCTGATTAAACAGTATCTTTGTCCTGTAACTTTTTGCTGGAAAGTTCATATTTGTTAAAATTTCCTGTAGAATCGCATACTTAAGTCAGTTTTGAAATCTATTTAGCAATTTTTGGAATTTTAACATAATAAGATTAGCAATTACCTTACATTTAGATATCTTAGAATTTTTTTTTGAGTAATTGAAAGCTAATATTGTTTAATAGTTTTTATTTATTGATTGGTATAAATTACACCGTGCAATAGTAATTTTCACACATGAAAAAATCTATGTGTACAAGAAACTGTGGATCATTAGTATTAACCCTGTTTACTCTGTTTTTCATAATCAGCTCTTTTGCCCCGTAAAAGGACTTTAAAGTTTAAAGGACATACGATTTCAAAAGATGGTATTCCAAATTTATATAAAAAATTTAGTATTAATATTAAAATCTAATGAAGCTGAGAACCTCTGCTTCGAAATAATATTATTTATTTCAATTCATCAGGATTAAAAAGAAATGGAAGCTTAAAGAAAATTTTTCTAAAAAAAGTAATTAAAAATTTTATTTATTTTATGATTTTTGGTCCAAATTAGTCAAATACAGATTTCCAGCAACAACACATATAAATATTTAAAATATTTGTTTGAAATTGTAAGTCCTATAAACTTTGAAGTCCTTTTATAAGGACATAAGAGCTGATTATAAAAATCGGAGTACGCAGAATTGCTATAAATGGTATCTAGTTTCACATGCATATCAAGTTTTCCATGTGTGAAAGCTTTTTTTTCAAAATTGTTACATGATGTTATAATTATTTACACATTTTTACCCAATTAGGTATTTACCCTTTTAACATCCCTATGGATAATTCAAACTATAATTTTATTCTAATTCTTTTCATAAATTCACATCTCTCTTCATCTTTTTATAACACATCCATCGTTTTGATAGCAAATAGTGACATAAATTGGTATTTAAAACAGCAAAAAGGATTTTAAGAATATATTAAGAGAGTATATAACAAATAAATATGAATCAGATTGGTTAATCTTAAAATAAGTTTAATCCAATGTTAATCCTATTTACTGCTTCCAAATCAAGAATTAGTTTGAATAATATATTAAAGATATGTTAAGCTTAATTTATTTTTATAACACATATGAAAAAGGACCTCTGATGAAGTTTTACATGTTGTGGGAAATATTTTGGAAGCTTTACAGCGTGGTCGTGTTTCATTAATAATACCCAAAAAGAAGCCTATCGACGAGTTGATAAAGGGACGTAATATGGTAAGCTAAACGTAAATAATTTCTTAAAATATTTTTACATATGCATATTTGTATTTGTAGAAATCGTTGTCACCAAATTTGTCAGAAGATTTAGCTATTAGTTTCTACTTACAATCGCACAAATTGATTATAGCCGTTTATCAATTGACCAACATACAGGGTGTTATGAGATTTGATACGTGTCAAGCAGAAGCTTCTGTAAATTGGCTAAATGAGGTATTAATAATGCTAACAGCCGGTCTGCAGTTATGTCAACAATTAAAAGATAAAGTAAGTATGGTGATACCTATATAACCTAAATCAAAATTGACCACAACAATCTCCGCGTGAAGTTGCAATCTCTGGTACATAACCCTTATCTCATTGTGATATTCCAATTCCCATCTTTTTCATATGGGAACGAGAAATTTTAAACATTTGAACTCAGTAACTAATTAGTTAAAAGAGGAGAGTATAATAAACAAATTTATAGCTACTTTATGGATCTTCTTAAAATTTTACAAGGCAACTTAATGATATAATAATTATTGGATCTAAAAGCGATATTTCGATTTGTTAGTGGCCTCAGGTAGGTTAGTGTTCTTGTCGGGTAGAGCGGAGGTGGTGGGTTCGATTCCCACGTGATGCACTGGTAAAAGAGCTCACAACCGCACGATGAGGTAAACCATGGCAAAAGTGGCGATTAATAGGATTTTGTTTGAAAATTGTGTTTTTTAGCAAAATTGGGTACCGAATAAAACTACACAAAATTATGTATAAGTAGCACTAAAAATTATTTCTGTAAGCATTACTGTTTTTCAGGTACTTGGGAATATATTTCTATAGGTTTTGTTAAACTCTTAGTTTTTTTAATATTTATCTTATTTTTTAGAAAAACCGTCTAAAAATAAGCTGTTTATGAAATTTAATTGATTGCATCTTAAAGTGTTTTTTCCGAAAAATATCTGAAAATTAATATTCAGGAAAAAAACTGCACATATTTGCCCCATTTTAAGAAATTAGGATTTTAGTAAACGTACCCAGCTCCTTTAATACCAAGTACAGACAAAGAAGTTTGTTACTTTTTCTTGTTTAATATCAGTAATTTTATCGTTATTGTTTTAAAAATAGCCATTAAATATTTATATTAACGTTAGTAATATCAGTCTTTTTATAAAATTGTTTTTTTTTTAATAATTAATAATTAATTTCAAAAATATATAATGTAGTTTTTTTCTATTTGTTTTGCAATTTTAATGAAAGTTAGTATGTTATATTTCTTTAAATATTATAAAAAACATTTAAATATACATATAGCCCGATATTTTATTTCTTTTGTTATGGGTCTATTTCGTGTGCAATTTAAATGTAACTAGGAGAAATAATGGACCAATTCAAACCAAATGTAAATATCATTGAACAATTTTGTAAAAATAAACAGGCGAGCCGAAGGACGGACATTGTCATAGGCTTAAAAAAATGTTTTTAAATACAATTATTGTTTTTTAACATAGGAATAAATAATTAAATAAGAAAATGCAAGGTATATATACAAATGTTCCCCAAAATAAGTGTCCCTCGTTTTACGAAAACGAGTGATGGAGACTTTATATGTATGTGAACGATGTTTAAATATGGACCGATCATATTGAAAATCGGTGGTATTATTTTAGCTTATATAAAACTAAGTTTTGTTGATTTTGGTAATGATACGATTAGAGTAGCCTTAACAAATGAATGACTAGAATAGCCTTAACAAATTTTTCTAATTCCAAAATTTATTTTTGGAAACCTTTTACGAATCTACAAAGTGTTCGTTACCACGACATTTGGACTTTTGCTCTAGAACGACTAAATTCATACTCCGCCAAAGATTGTAAACTCCGCGACAGCTGTGTTAACCGAAAGATTTTTTCCATAACATTAGACGCAAAATTTGTGTCTACTGTTATGTATGATCAAATGAAAAGTATCGTCCGAAGAAAAGATTAGCCCTTTGTAAGAAATACACCTTTCACTATAAGATGACAATTGTTTAAAATAAATAATAAAATATTGAAATTATAAAATAAATTAAACAAAATATCCACTCAAAAATTATTATTAATATAACTAACCAAATTCTCTTTATTTTTTAGATTTCGGTTTTTTCGCTTTATAAAGATTTTAAAGTTGGCTCGCGCTCTTCATCGGCCTTATCTTATTGACCATGCATGATGCTGCATGGTACTTTGGATTATACACTAAATGGCCTTAGGTTGTATACTTATTTATTTAGAATAAATTAAAATTAATTTAAAATCGGTATTTCAACTATCGAATATTGTTACAAATTGCATAAAATGCTTAACTATTTTGATTTGTATAACTATGATAATTTATACTCAAAGTTTCATGTTTCAACGAAATGCCATCTATTTGTAAACATTTCAGTACTTAAAATTTAAAGAAAAAATTAATTATGTACTATGCATATTGATTGTACTATTTTAAACAAAAAAGACACCAAGCTGCCTTAATCACAACTTATAGGATTTATTTTATTTGTTCTATTATTTTATTAATTAATTACTGTTGACACTGTATTTTATTTTAATTAAAAAAATAAAGCATCTTAAAATTATTATAATTATTAACAAGTAAGAGTGTTATATTCGGCCATGCCGAATCTAATATAGCCACCATCGAATCGTAATACGTAAAAGAGATGCTCTCTTATAAACATCAGGGTAATATTTGGAATAGGGCTTAAGTCAATTATGTACCGAGCTCTTTCGAATTAATTAAATATCGAATCGTAATACGTAAAAGAGATGCTCTCTTATAAACATCAGGGTAATATTTGGAATAGGGCTTAAGTCAATTATGTACCGAGCTCTTTCGAATTAATTAAATATTTTTGACCAATTTTTAAACCTTGAACATATATATGGGCGGTAGGGTCAATTATGGATCGATTGTCGTAAAATTTGGTTGAAAGATTTCGGTTCGTATAATACTTATTTGTTTCGAATTACATCGCTGTACTCGTGTTTTTAAAATGCGTAAAAGTAATTTATATGCGAGTAAGATCAGTTATGAACCGATTCTCATAAAATGTTGTATATAGAGTCTATATTATAGACTTTGTTTTGTACAGAACTGGTTTATATCAAATTTCATCGCTATTATCATATTTTTAAAAAAGGAATACTCATATTTTAAATAACTAAGTAAAGTTGGGGTGGAATGGGCAATTTTGACCCGATCCTCATAAAAGTTGGTAGGCCGATTCTAGTTTATATATCGTCACCTGAAACGCAAACGGCCCTAACTAACCAAAAATTCAAAATCGATTTTATTGGTGTTTCTAATGTATTGCATCAAAACAAATGTCCACACTAAAAATTAGACTCCTCCGACCATAATTATCGATTTTATTGACAGAAAACAAAAGGCTCTATCTACAAAGCCATTTAAATATTAAAGGTAAAAACTCCAATTTATCCATTTTTATGTACGCCATTGTCAACTATTATAACAAATGATAGGTTTCACTATTAAAAAATTTGTTTATTTAATAAAAATAAATCGCGTTGATAGAAACAAACATCTCCTGTAAAATTTAAAAAATGTTGGATAGGGACGTTTGCGTTTTAGGTGACGATATGTACATCTTGCTTATGTCGAAATTCATCGCTGTACTCGTATTTTTAGGTCAGTACTGAGCATTTAAGTAAAGAGGACCTTATATGGGTGGAAGGGACAATTTTGAACCGATCCTCACTATATTTAGTAGAAAGGCTTTGGCTCATAAGGAAATTATTTTTATCGAATTTCATCGATATACTCGTATTTTTAAGCCAGTAATGAGCGTTAAAGTAATTTTCTGAAGGGGATCTTATATGGGGGTAGGGTCAATTATGGACCGACCCTCGTAAAGTATGAAATATACTTTTTGGTTAGCACAAAACTTGTTTATGTCGAATTTCACCGCTTTACTAGCATTTTTAAGCCCGTAATGAGCATTATAGTCATTTTCTGAAGGGGACCTTATACGACGGGTAGGGTTAATCATGAGTCGAGTCTTGTAAAATTTGGTGGAGAGATTTTGGGTCATATGAAACTTATTTATGTCGGATTTCGTCGCTATATTCGTATTTTTATGTCAGTAATGAGAGTTAAAGTCATTTATATGAGGAGTTGGGTCAATTATGGATCTATCCTCATAAAATTTGGTACAGAGTTTTTGGGTCGTTCGAAACTAATTTATCTCTCTATTTTCGTTCTTTTATAGCAGTTATGCCTGCAGTTTAATTTCCGGGGGTCCACTTGTATGGGGGCTAGGTGAAAACATCAGCCGATATTACCCATTTTCAATACCAAACAAACTGCAGCAATATAGAATATTTGTGCAAAATTTCAGCTCCCGTTCCGTTCGGACTCTATCGTGCTTTCAACAGACAGACGGACGGACATGGCTAGATCGTCTTAGAATTTAATAAGGACCCACTTTTCTGGGTCTATAACCAATATTTCAATGTGTTACAAACGGAATGATAAATCAATATACGCCCATCTTTTTTGATGGTGGGTATAAAAAGCTTATAGAATTGATTAATATATTTAAAAAAACCTAGAGATCAGGGATGGAAAATAAGATTTCGTTTCAGTATCAAAAAATATTTCAGAGTACTTTTTTGGATCTGAGAGTACTAAAATATTTTTTTCGCTAAAAGTTTGTAATTTCTTAAATACACTATATTTAGACATTTTAAATTAATCCACAACGGAAGTAGAGAGGTCATTATATGATGAATCTGTATTCGTCCCTCAATGTTAACCTTTTAGATACAATTTGATGAAATTTATTAGGTAATTTCTTGTACAGGAAATGGTATCTCATAACTACTTTGTTAAAGCAGTTATGATACAATTTGTTGTATTTTAATAAATCCGGTCTTAATTAATATCAGGCCACCTTTGGCCCGCAGCTCGCTCCGAAGACATGGGCAGGTCGACCACCCCTTCCGTCGTGTGAATTTGGTTCCTCTATTTTGAATCTCACGAGTATGCACGTTCAGACGGACGATCCACGTATTGACGGCGTACGTGGACTAGGTAACTAACTTACAACCGCGCTTTGCCATGACGCTGAGGGAAGCTGTAAGCTACTAGCCTCTTTATGCGCTGGCTAGCCATCCAGGCCTTCGGCACTGCTACCGCTCACCATGACCTTAAAATTGCCTATATAACGCTATGCCTATCGGTAAAGCCCTTACTGCACAAAGAACGAGCCGAATTAGATAGCGTATCATATACATATGTCATGATAGAAGGAAGTAGGATTATAAGCCACATACCACACTCACTATCTTGACAAGATGAGTAACCTTTAGTTATACACTTCTATATAACCATAACTTTCCATGACTGAATACCGAAGCATTAATCACAGTAAGCTATAGTCACGATGTGTACTTAAGCCCTCGCACACGACAAGATACATAGTTACCCTTGGCGAAGGGTAACTATACATAACATTTTTAAGAATTATATGTAAACATGTGCCAAAACAGTCGTGGAATTTCAAATTTGAATAAAAATTTTAATGATACTTTGACCCCCATTTCTCAATGTCTTGTTATTTTTTTTTAATCTAAATATTTTAACCGACGGTTAAACGATAATCGGATATTGAGATTGTAGCCCTGAGAGTATCAAGTAAGACTCGGGAGTATCACGGTACTTTCGAACATCAATTAGTACTTATCAAAAAAGTACCATCGTACCAATTTTTCCATCCCTGATTTAACTCTTTAACAAAAGCTTTGCTCTTTAATAAATATTAAAGCTTCATTGCAAGTTTAGCTTGAAGGCCTAAATATTTGGTTTTTATGAATGCTTAAAGTCATTCACAAAATATACATCAAGTTAAGAAGTTGTAGTGTTGTTAATATCGTGGATTTTAAAAGGAAAATTTTGTAATAATTATTATTACTTTTTTGTGAAAAATAATAAGGTAAGATTAAAATAAAGATTTGCCCAAGAAATGTTTATCAAATTGTACTTGCATTTAACAAAACAGTAATTTTTACTTTTCAATTTAGTACGGAAATAGATGTTAATTCAAATGAGAGACTCATTTGTTGCGCATGTAAATAGTTATTAAGAGAAACCGGTTTTAAATATTGGGCCACAATGTTTTGATGTTTGTAGGGCATTAGAGCCAAAGCAATAAAACAAAAAAGTATAATTTAAATTTATTTTCTCACTCGCTTGTTTTGTTTGTTTTTATAAAACGTTATATACTAAAATACAATAACAAAATATGTATATTAATAATAAACTATTGTCAAATGCAGCATTGCTTGACCCTGGCCAAAATCATTCAATGAAGACCCCAAAGCCAAATTAATTTGATTAAAAGCGAAAGAAGTTCATATTTAATAACTTTAGAGCAAATTTTTTTTTTACAAAATGGATTAAAAAATATTTTACCTATATTTTTTAAAAATAGGCCACAATATTTTTCACAAAATACCCGCTTGCAGACATGCAATTCTAAAACATTCCAAACATCACCACCTCGTTTAACCATTGGTATATATTTTGTATATTAAACACTTCATCTTGCATTCTCCATAACGTATTTGATAAGTAAAAATTTATTTTAAATTCATATTAAAAACACTCTATATATGTATGTATGTGGCTTTATGTATCTTATTTCAAAAATAGTAAAATATAATAAAACATTCAAAGCTGTCTTTCTCTAAACGACGTTGTTTTGGATTATGCCACTTTAAGGCAAATATAAAAATATCGGAAATTCTTTCGTTTAGATTTCTAAAATGCAAAAGATTTTCGTTGTAAATTTTCAATGTTTTCGCCATTTTTGGTTTGTACAAATGTGAGGCTGGATAATTTCAATGACGCACAGTGATTCGTTTTCATTCATTCAATAAACAAAAATCTAAATTTTATTTATAAATATTTTTTAATGAAATTTTACAGTTATATATATTTTCTTATGAAAATATATATAACTGAAATATATATATTTATATGAAATATATGAAAATGACAAAATAAAAAAAATATTTTTTTACCCGAATACCGCGCTTCCCAAAAAAGTTTTGAAAGATTCCAAAAATCAGAATTTTTAGTTTTTTGGCTATACTAACTATCCTCATCAGGGCCGCGGTTATCGAAACCCTTTACGAAATATTAAAGAACATATTGGGCCATCTAAAATGGGTTACTATATATTGATATCGACTTTGCGATTTGAGAATTTTTAGTCTAAAGTTGAATTGTGAACCCCCCAATATATAAAATTTTGATTGTTTTTTACTTAAAATATTTGATATAAACATAGCTTTTCAAAAAGTATAAAATCTTTATATATCTTCTTAAATATTTTTAAAGATAACTTAAAAATAAAAAACGTACTTTTTTTGGTCCTACACCCACCTTAAAATATACCAATCGGCTTAGAATCACTTTTGAACCTTAGTTCCTGGAACTAAGTATTTTTTTAGTATTTTTTCTTTTATCAAATTACACTTTTTTAATTTTTTATAATACTTAACACATAAAATTTTTGATTGAGTGAGAATCTTTCGAAATTTTCTATAATGT